TGGGAGTTGACACCCACACAGCTTCAAGTTGCCAAGGTTGAGAAACACTGTTCTAGAGCATTTCAGCAAATAAGAATAAGTCCTAATTCTTTCTAACTTTGTAGAAGGAAAGCAAGGGGTTTGCCAAACTTCCTATTTAACCTTTACAGGGTGCAGTTAAATAAGAAGGTGAGCACATGAGTGCTGCAGCTTCAGTGACAGGAAATCTGTGTTGCCTATCAAGTTTGATACAAATAGGGTTTTGGACATGGAATATTTTTATAGCTCCAAAAGTGATTCTAATGAAAATTTTCATTAAAAAATTAACTCTCATTGAGAAAAATGCAACTCTATTAAGATCTTAGGAGCAAGGAAAAAAATGAGAATAGAACTTCTGCTTTGTATCTTCTATAAAGTTCAGCCAATGATTAGAAGCTGTTGGGATTTTCTGACATTGATTTTTAAGAAACAGAAATGCTATTCCCTGGCTAAGATGCTACGTGTATTTATCACCGGCATTTTGAAAATGCAATAAAATCAGTCACAAGAGACGATTTATTGTATAGAAGTTAGCAGATGCTGCATTTCAACACTGGGTATAAGCATTATTATGTTTAAAATCTGCAGCCACCAGATGAAATAGTATTACAACTGTAATTTATAAAACATTTTGGGCATAATATAGCATGTGACAAAAGTTTACAATCTTTTGTTGCTTGGTAGCTAGAGGAAATTTGGTGCCCCCTGCTGTTAGAAAAAAACCACCACACTTCAATTATTATATATCTGCTTGAGAATTCCTTTATACAAAAAGATTAACAACCAAAGAGAAAAGAAAATGTTATACTACAGAAATACAATTAACTTAGAGTGTGCCAGCATGCTACCTAATAAATGGCAACATGCACTATTGGTGAAGGGACAGTATGCACTTATTAAGTATAAAATACGTGGGATTACCTTTTAAAAAACATAGCTACAAAAAAAAATAGAGATAAAAATAAACTAACATTGTCTGTTAACATGCCAGAAGGATTTTTAGAATGGGCATTTCAGTTTGGACTATTGACATGAAAACTGATAGGAATGCTGATGCAACTATGCATGTCTTCATATTTAAAAAATGTATAATTTTTTAATGTACATGGTGAGTTATACTGATGGTTTAGCTAAAAGGATAGGAAAAAAAGGATGAATAGAATAAGTTGAATGCTGCAGCAAACTGCAAAGAAGCCAATTTCAACATGATAGAAACTAGAACTAGATATGATCCCAGGAAAAAACACAGCTGCTTTAAGAAGTTGCTGACAGATGGTATATGTTCAGTACTCTGAAGCACTTTTTTTCCTTTGAATGAAAGTGCTGGACAGCCCCAATGTAAGTGCTGTGATAGTGGGATGGAACACAAGGTGTATCTATTCTGTGAACTATTCATAATCTCTTATCATCCTTGTATCTTTCACTGCTGCAGCCCCTGAATCAAGGGGTTAGAATGAAAAGAGAAGTATTGAACTGTCGTGATGTTTGTATGCATGTCATGATATTGCAAGCCCATATGAAAGGGGCAGAATTTATGCTGTGAAAGTGTGATGCTATCTTCATTATTTTGATGAAAGCAGGAAGCTTCTGCAGATGTTCCTTTAATTCTTTCTCAGAGTCTTTTATCATAAACAATCAAATCAATCATCTTTTTCATTCATTCCTTTTCCATTTGTACACACAAATAGACTTATGCTTAAACCCTGCATTTGAAACAAACAGACCTTTTTCTAAGCAAATATTCACCAAACAATCATGATTTTCATTCATTCTTGGGTCTCCAATAATATTTTCTGTACTGTCTCATCTTATACCCATTCATATGTTCATGTTACCTAACTTTCCCCCAGATTGCATACATTCATAAACTTGTATATTTTTTCTCAAAACATACCTGTTAGTATCATTCACTAGAAAGCAAGATGCATCTATCACAACCTGCAGATTTCTAATTTAAAGTGGTTTTTAACAATCTAGACGACAACTGTTAATACATTTTAGCCCTTTCATTCATAATTAAACCTACACCTCCCTTTCCACCCCACCAGATCAACCCCCCTTCTTTCTGATGTATTATATTCTTGTCTTACTTTCACAAAATGACAACTTCCCATCCCATCCTGCTTTTTACCATTGGGACCTCTTGCTTTACAAGTTGCAGTCTTCCATGTGCTATAGTCTTCAACAGATGGCCCCATGAATATTGACTTCTATTACCATCATTGCTTTGGACAGAAAAAGCATTCATGTAACGCTTTTGTAGTAAGATACAGGAAGAGCAGACCATATTACCAGCCTTAGTTGTACTCATGCACATGCAGCATTCCGTGATAATAAGGACACAATACCAACTAGAACAACGCTCATCTTTTAGTTAGGAAGATATTTTATTTAAAGATTTAATATCAGTTATTCTGGGAATGTTAAAAATGCTGGCTAGCCATCATAAAATTTAACATGAGAATGATATATCTAGAGGCAACTGAAGGTTACTGAAAAATGCACATAAATCTCTCGTAGAAAACAGTTACATTTTAGCATGCAGTGTATTTGTTCAAGAAGGCAGATAAACTAAAATAACTATGATATCTTACATGAGTAAAAATATTGCTTAGCTTCTGGGTGCTTACAGGAATGTCTCTCCTGGCAAGATTCAACCCTCATACATTGTTTTAAGAAAGGAATGCCGAATGTCCCAATCCCACACAAAGTGAAAGGGTTGGGGGCCTGATGATGCTCCTTCTGTGGATGGTACCACACTTTGGAGCATCTTGCCTCCTGAAATAGGAACTGCCACTGACCTCTTGATCTCCAGTGCTTGGATCAAGGATTTTTACTTGTATTTTATTCTAAATAGAAATAATTAAAAATAGGCAAACATTTCTTCTGTATGGTTCTAACAGGGAACATATGTACATCTTAGGGTAAGACCTAGAGGCCAAGGTCTGGGGCCACACAGCTCATCCCTATCCTCCAAATGAGCAGTTATATTTATTATCTTTACTTCTATAGGTCCTTTTGTTAAATACTAGTTAGCAGTTCAGGATTTCACAATAGTTATGACAATCACAGATCCGTTCTAAATAGTCACTTGTGCCACTCTTTTATGGCTTTGGTTAAGCAGGCATTCATATAACACTTTCTTAGTAACCAACCATAGGTATCTGCTACTATGTCACACAGAACAGCAAAAAATGATGAAATGTAGATTGGGATGTCACAATGCCAATTCTGGCCTTTCATAATTGCACCCTGATGTTGGACACCAGTACATAAACCACAGTGTTTGTGTCATGATCTTTTGATGCATGCTTTGTCACTTGTCTCCCCTTGCATATGTAAGAGCTCAATACAAATAGCTGATCAGGAGAGTGGTTGTCTAAAATTTGGAATGTTTACAGCTGTTTTGTTGTCACTGACATACCACTTTAGACTTGAAGCAATTATTTTTCTCTACAGGGGCAGGGTACCTATTATATGGCCCATTCTATAGGGCTCAAGGACTTTCTAACTAGTAGGGCAGTTGACCTGACCTCTGGTGACCATTCAGTCTTTAATATACACCCAAACTGAGAACAATGAAGGAAATTGGAGGGCAACTGGAATACCGAGGAAAACATATCTCAGATTGGACAGAACACAAGTAAGAGTTCATTATTAAGTCTATTCTGTGGTGATTATGCAGCCCCAAAGCCATTTTTTCCCCTTTATCATTATGCCTTTGTAATGAGGTTTTGAGGGGATTAAAATTGAGAGAGCAAACAGGATTCTTGGTAGCTTGTTGTCACGTTTGCAAAATACTTCGAGGACATGAATTAGCAGTTCAGTCTGTAGAACTGTCCAGAGCTTTGTCTGGACAGTTTTCCAGTAACTTTTTATTTGAAGGCCATCATAATATAGACAAAATACTAGGTAGTATATCACCTGTTTGCTCTGTGTCCTTTCTAGATTAATATTATATTTAGTAGGAAAGGTGTGTTCAGCTGAGTCCAATAGTTTATAAATATATTCTACAACAAAGAATGGTCTTGGCCTCAGTAAAGGGAGTAAGACAGTAAGAGCAATCACTGGACTCTAAAAAGCTAATTATAGTTTAGCATTCAACATTCCTTTCCTAGGCAGGTTGCTTGGTCACGTGATGGTTGACCAGATGCTTGGATAAAAAAATTTTCTCTGTCCATAACAATTGGGTTTATCTCTGGTTTTGAAATTGAACTTGTGTAGGATGATTTTTGCAGGGAAGGAAACGGAAAGAATGTCCAGCTGTTTCTTCCTGGAAGTAGGCCTTCCCAGTAGTGATGCTGTGTTGAAATGCTCCCTTCTGAATCATGACTGATGCCTACAATATTATCTTTTCAACATCTATTTTATTCTCCCAGGCCTTTTAATTTCATTTTTAATGAACATGTTAATATTATGCTACACTGGAATTTGTCTACTTTTATTTCTGCTTTTGTTACCACTGCATCAAGTTCAAATCCTAATGACTTCACAGACAAGTGCGTGCCATTTCAATTTGTCTTTGTTCTCCAAGGACAGTCCTGTAATCTCTTTGATACTTTCCATCCATTTTACTCATTGCTGTCATTGTCGTCATTATCTTCTCATATTTACAGTTATTTGTTGTATATTTTAACCCACGTTTACATTTTAATCACAATTTCAAAATGTTTATAAGTACACTGAGAAAACTTTGTTTGAAAGAAAGCATTTACATTTCAGAATAGGAACTCAAATATAAATATGATACTGAATGTATATTTCGTGATGAGTATAGACTACTGCTCTACAAAACAAAAAAATGCTGGAAATATGGAAAATAAAATTGAGATAAATAGTTATAATGTACGATAGGTTATTTTTAAGTTTAGAAGCTCCAAGGACACTTTCAGAAATAATTTCACAATACACCAAAGCTCCACTCAGTAATCATAGAAAAATTCTTCATCTAATATAATCTATAAAATTGTTTTAATACATACCTGGTCTTGGCAGTTATCTTTTCTCCCCAAATTGTTCAACTGGTTTCTTTTTCTCTTGCACAACTCTTGATTAACAGTTGTGAAGGGCTGAAGAAGATCAAAAGATGTATTGGGCAGCTGCACAATACTTTCTTTTGCAATATTCTCTGATGAAGGTAAGAACAGCTGGTGATTAATAGCAGCACTCTCAAGATAGCTTTTTGAAGCTTTCCAAACAGGATTAAACCCAGTTTCGTCTTGTGCTAATATCCTGTGAGAAGTAACTGAAAAATTCTTTGAAAGCTCAGTAGTATCAGATTCAAGTCGGAACTGAAAATAGTTACGTACTTTGTTGGATTTCAATGGTAAGCAATCTTTTGAGTTAAAATGCTGTGTTTCGTGTTGCCTAGAGAAAACAGGTCCCTCAATTGTGGATATTCCATAGAAAGTAGGTAGCAAGACAAGCCTCTTTCTCAAACTCTGTGGTATTCTATGAAAAGCTTTTATAGTGTATCCGTCATTCAGAGCCACTGAAGCTGAAATACTTGTTTTTAGATCAGACCCTTTGAAGCATAGTTTTTTATTATTCATCTCAAAGTTAGCTGATTTTACCTCTAGGCAGAGTGCCTCCATTAATCTTCCAGTACTTTAGCCAGATATGGAACTCTTCAATTTTCAGCTCTCAGAATTCCACCTGTAGTACTCTCATGTATTTTTTTAGTAGAATCAAAATGGCATTTACAAAGTGACAAGTGCTTTACTTGTGATTTTGGTAATCTAACTGTAGTAGCTATCTGGCAGCCAGTTTGTCTTTTGCAAATATGTATATTTGTAAGCTGTCCACATAAACATGCTGTATTACTGATAAAGTTACATTCTCCAAGGCAAGCCTCACAAAATGAGCAGTTCAGTTTTCCAGTTGTCCATCTGCCTATGGAAGAAAATAAACCATTAATTCTTCATAATTCATGAGATAAGAAATGGTCATGAAGTCAATTTTCTCCCACAAAATAGGAAAGACTATATATATTTCTCATTTTATAACTGAAATATAATCAAGTAACAAAAGCAATCAAATATCAAAAGACAAAACCTAATATTTTTGAAAAAAGTTCCTTGAGATAAATACATTTTGGAAATGTTCAAATGTTAAAGTTCCATTGTAAACATTTAAAAATATTCTCTGATACTACTAAATACTCTGGTTTTATATTTACACTAGCTACTGAGTATTTTTGAACATTAAGCAGTCTTCAAACATCTTAGAAATTATAATACTATGTGCAGTTAGTATTACCAGACAAATAAGCTTACTGAAGTTTGGAGCTTAGTTGCATACCAAAAGTGGATAGCTTATGAACATTTTATTGTTTTCACTGAGGTACAGGTAGTCCTTGTTTAACAACCATTAGTTTCATGATGGTTTGAAGTTACAACTGCCTCAGAAAAAGTGCTTTATAACCTGTACTTGCACTTATGACTGTCACACCACCCCTTGCAGTCACGTGATCACAATTTGCAACCTTTTTTATGATGGTCCTTAATTGAATCACCACGAGCATTAAGTGAATCACGTGGTTGTTAAGTGAATTCCAGCATAAAATGTCCATTGGGGAAGCTGGATTCATTTAATATGTGATTCAGTTAACAACCATGTGATTCGCTTAACGACCCCAGCGATTCACTTATCGACCATTGTAAAAATGGTTGTAAAATTGGATCCGGTCATGTGGTGATGCAACCATCCTCAACAACCAATTTCCCGGTCCCTATTGTTAAGTGAGGACTACCTGTACTGCAGGAACAGAACCATCTGCTGTTGGTGATAAAGTGGGCATCGTATAGAGACAGTTAAAATGTTTGAGTCCAAATACCCATCATGACAATTAGAAGCAGTACAATGGATTCAGTGTAAGAGGACTAATATATTTAGGAAGCAACTTTTTTGTTTGTAATATATTTGTATTTGGGGCCTAATTCAAAGTAGTGATTATTACCTTTAAAGCCTCTGATGGTACAGCTCTGGGATATATAAGACAATGCCTTGCTAAAATAGAACCTCCAACTAGCCTGGTCATCAAGACAGGGCCTAATGTAGGTCCCTCTCCTTGTGAGGTACCTAGAGCATGGACAAGGCAACAGGCCTCCCCAGTGGCAGTCCCCAGTTTATGAAACACTCTCCCTGCAGAGCAGTATTTCTCAACCTTGGCAAGTTTAAGATGTGTGGACTTCACCTCCCAGAATTCTGGAAGCTGAAGTCCACACAAAGTTGCTAAGGTTGAGAAACACTGCTGTAGAGGTATAGATGGCCACATTTCTGCTAGCATTTTGCAGCAAGCTAAAGCAGTTTTATTTCAGCATGTGTTTGGTCCTTGGATTAAAAGAGTTTAATTTTAAGGATACCTATGTTTTTATTAACGGCTTTAAATTATATTATGTTAACTAATTATGTGGGGCTTTTATTTTTGTTTTGACTTTTGCATTTGACTTTCTTGTATTCTACCCAGAGTCCATTAGGACAGGATGGTTTATTACTATTGTTAAATAGATACATAAATTGTAGCAAGATAAAGACTGCAGTGTTAGTCATCTGCAAGGTAGGTTTCCCATTTTGAAGTAGCTTTTTCCTATATTTTCTGAAATATGTTGTACAGTCTGTTCCTTGTGAATTATAGCTTTGAATACCCTTTCATTTTGGAGTTCTTGTGACATATACAGACATACATGGAAGTCTGTGTATGATGAGAATGACAATATGTAGCAATGAATCATGATCAAATACAATTCCATGATCTGTAGGGAATACATTCTCTTAGGCAGAGAGTGTAAATTTGGCTTTATGTATGGGACAATACAAGGAACACAAGACATGCAAGTTTAGATTTCACTGAAGAATAAAACACAGATTTTAAGACAGAGATGTAAACTGACTATTTTGATTAAAGAAAAGACATTGTCTAGCTTTGTTTCTACTTGGAAACGGCTCTTGGACTTTTTACTTGAGACTCAAAAAAATGAACTATTGATTTTGGGGTTTGATGACTGCTTTATTTTGTAATTAGAGAGATACTTTGTATTAATTTGTTTTATATTATTTGTTGATATAGATATATATTATAGTTTTTCAAATATTAGAGTAAGAAGTGAATGTATTTTATATTTATACCTATACCAAAGTTGGACGTTACTTTACTTTTTTTCTTCTATATATATTTTTTTCTTTTGTCATTTTCTTTTTTCTTCTTGTCTTTTTATCCTTTACTGAAATTTAATAAAGTTCTTTAAAAAAAGAGACAGAAGTGTATAATATATTGCTGGCTGTAGGCCACATTTAACATTCGGAAGGAGTCCAAGGATCACTGGGCAAAGTGATAGTGAAATCTACAGAATCTGGGTGTTAAATTTTGTTTTCCTGGATTTGGAGGCAAAGTTCTGAGGTCTACCATCTGGGTTTTTGAGCTATTTAATTCTGGATTAAGTTTCATGTTCTCCTGAATTTCCTCTTCAGAATGACAGCAAACCACATCACCAAATTTTATCCCTTTTAATAAGAGCGATCTCTGTATGCCACAAGCAAGGATGACCACATGCAGCCCTAACTTCTCTAACTCTACACTAGTAGCTAAACACACATTCTATACATTTGGTTACTGCTAAATTGCAGTGGCCCCTCAAGTCTTGCTGAGCTGCCTTATCGTAGTGATGGTGGTGGTGGTGGTGGTGGTGAGGTGTTCTTGGGAGGGATGACCAAAGGACACTGGGAGTATATGGTAAGAGGATTTAATCCCACCAGGGCCACCCAAAGTGTGATGTCATCCCAGCTGACATCATGGGACTATCCAAGGGGTTGCTAAATGGATGGGGATCAAAAGGGAGTCAGTAAATGTCTGGGAGTCAATAGATGGTCGATAAATGATGGAAGGTCAACTGGGGTCAATTAATCTATTAGGGTCTCTGAAGAGCTCCACGCCAGTCCCTAGTCCTGAAGGTGAGGTGGCTAGCAGTGAGACAGTGTTACCCAGGGTTGGATGGTCAGCCACCAGCAAGAGCACCTGTAAGCTGTCTCTATCAGTTGTGTGTTGTTACTGGCCTCATTTATTATTATTTATACTACTATTAAAGTAGTATATATTAAATTATTTTCATATAATTTCATATAATCCATATAATAAATGTTTGGAGGTTGATGAATAATCTGAAACTTCATGAAGGAGTTGATGAGGTGAAGAGTTTGGGGACCCCCGAGCTAAAGCAAGCAGGCACCTATATTGGGCAGTGGAGATACAGAAATATGCTGGAGGCAGATGATCACTTTAGTGACACAAAAACCACATGGATAGACAATAGAAAGCGACTGATAATATAGAACCCAATGATGGGTCAGATATCACTGAGAAAGAGCTGAGGAACTTTCAGAGTACAAACGTAGAAGACAGAGAGAATGGCTGTGAAGGACAGGAGAAAGAGCCACTACCAAGGCACCAGTCAGATGAAAACTTTACAATAAAAGTAATACTGACCTACATGGCATTGGTTTCCTAGTTTGGTCTACCTTGAAGGACTGACATCAAATGGTGTTTACAATGTGGCTAGATTAAAGTCTCTGGAATGTATCATGGGGGAAAAGAAAATCTGAAGCTGCAAAGACAGAATTATAGTGAGAACTTGGAACCTAAGAAGCATGAGCATAGGAAAGCTCAATACAGTGAAAGATGAAGTGAATCAGCTACACGTTGACATCTTAGGCATCAGTGAATTGAAATGTACTAGAATTATACATTTTTAGTTAGAAGATCATACTGCTTACTACTCAGGACATGAAAAACAAATAAAGAAGGGCACTGCTTTCACAGTGGAAAAACAAGGAAAGTCTTTCAAAAGATCTCTGAATTCAGAAGGAGGATTCAATCTTAAATTGGTATGCTAAATGTCAATGGACAGATATTCAAAGATCATCAAAGATGGAACAGTATACTGACATTCTGTACAGTAGAAATGTCAACATCCAACGTATCTTAGAAGAGGTTCCCTACTTACAAGAATCTCTGGTACTAGTAGATGATGTCAGATGAGCATTCCAGTCATTACCAAGTTAGAAGGCTACAGGATTCCAACTTGGAGTATCTATGGAAACATGGTAAGCAATAGAAGAAGAATCTGTAAAGGTTCTAACCAAACTATGGCAGCAAATTTAGAGGATGACACAGTGCCCAGCAGACTAGAAGAGGTCAATGTACATTCCAATACCAAAGAAAGGAAACTAAACAAATGTGCAAACTAGTATACAATATTCTAATTTTACATGCTAGCAAAAGAATGCTTAGAATAATCCAATATGTATTATAGCCCTACATGTAAAGAGAGATGCCAGATGTTCAAGCTGGCTTTAGAAAAGGCCAAAGGGCAAGAAGACATTATTGCTGATGTAAACTAAATAATAGAGAAAAGCAAAGAATGCCAAAAAGAAATCCATATGTGGTTCACTGATTATAGAAATCCTTACTTGTGGTGATAGTTTCTGTTGATTACGTCAAGCTGTGAAATGTGCTTAAATAATGGGAATACCAGAACAACTCATTGTCCTCATGCAAAATTTATACTAAGGTCAAGAAGCCACAGTCTGGTTGGAACATGGCAAAACAGACTGGCTCCAGGTAGGCCAAGGAGTGAGACAAGGCTGTATATTTTCCCCTTAT